ATCCAGGAACAGTGTCTGATCTATAAGATGGATTGGCCAAATGGCCAGGACATCCAGACACTTTATTCTGCCACCCGTTAATCTCGTATGAACATTGGACATTTATCGGTTGTGAGTAGTCGAGAAAAAGGCAGGGTCCATCAAGTGCTAAATTCCCACATGCAAAAACTCAGATTAAAGCTACAAATTTACTTTGACAAAGGAGTGACACATCAGATCCCAGGTACCAATGATGTTGCTTTGTAGACACAAAACGATTGTCACTGGCGTCTTTGTGCCTTGTCGTATCACAGTATCTTCTTAATCCACAATAGGAGCGGTGTATATAGAAAAGACCAGATAATATAACATTGAATGTAACCTGCAAAAACTCCATTGGTCATATTGAAGTTTACCATCGTCTGTGTACAGCGTGACAAGATAGAACAACTGTTTCGTTCTGTACATGTGATTGTAGCTGGATTCGATATGTTCAGGACTTGGTATATAGCCAAGCTAGTGTGCATGTTCATCATGTTACCGTGCCATCGTGCCTTTCATTCATGACAGCAAGATCTCATTTTGGACCATCAGATTGTTCAAGATGCCTGCTCGATTCCCGTTCAAGCCCGCTACCTCGGTTAATGAAGCCACCAAGCCTCTCGAGGCATGCGAGCTTCTGATAGCAGACTCTCAACGGCAAATCTGGGCCGTTGGGAACAGATTCATGATCAAGGTCAAACCATATCATGCCGGTTGTAAAGTCGAGATCGATAATGTGAGTCTGGTCCAAAGGCACACTAACATGCCTGCTCCTACCATTATACGCTCCTGGAAGGATGATGATCGCTTCTTCACTCTACAGAAACGAGTACCAGGTGAGACCCTCGAAGCCGCATTGCCCCGGCTTACCCAGCAAGATCTGACAAAAATCGGGGAGGACCTTGGCCAGCATCTTTACAAGATGCGCAGGATACAGAATACAAGAATGGAAATGGTCAATGGTACCGGTGTAGTCGACTGGAGATTGCTCAAGCCTGTGCCCGAGGCAAGAGCCGACAGATATTCGGTAGAAACCGACGGACAACTCGCAGGACTTCTTGCCCACCGCATTCGAGGCCATCTCGAGGAAAGTCTTTTAGAAGAGTTCATGAGCCAAATGCCATCGGGTCAGCCATACACATTTAGTCACTCTGATCTCCATGAGGGCAACATCATGGTCAAGGATGGCAAGTTCAGTGGCCTGATTGACTGGGACCTGGCTGGCTACTATCCGATTTGGTGGGAGTCGGTCAATGCAACGTCTCTACTCGATCCTTACCTCTCCCCTGGATTGGCTTGCCCTCAGGCGCTGCGATGGTTTAATGTCTATCAAGCAATCCGTGATGCGCCGGGAGAGGCAGAAACCTTGGAGAAACTGGGAAATTATCTGTACAAGCATGAGTAAAGACCCAATAAGAGTAGATAGGATAGATCAGTAAGACTAATGAGTAATGGTGAGATGAGATGCGCAATCTATTTACCAAGTATCCGTAAATCTGAAGGTTGTAATGTCATTTGGGTGCATCTCGACTCCAATAGCTCCCTCCAATTAGTACTTATTAGCATTGACTTGGAAAGACTTTGGCTTTGTTTCTCGTTTCTTGCCTTCTCCACCAACAAAAGCCACGGCTTGGTGAGAATAAGGTAAACAAAGAAATTGAATCAGAGAAAAAGGAGAAAAGATTCCAAAGAGAAAGATTCCATATACTATTACTAGGGTCCATTCCGCACCCGCCCGCACCCACGCCCGCACCATTGAGGCGGGATCTCGGGGGTCTAGAAGGTACCGCCAACTGTTTAGCACCACTTTCAGCGCGTTCAGGAATCGACACGCTGCCGAACTGCCTCTCAAGTGCTGGGCTGCCCCACCAAGAAGCTCGCCCAAGCTTCTGAAACTTGATGTGCGATTACGACATTGCCAGCTGCAGCTCCAATTACCTCTTGAGAGCTGCATATCCCGCCATTGATCGGGGGGTAACTTGAATCCGTATCTCTGTATATAGATAAAGAGCAGCTCGAGACCCAAACTCTCATGTCTCTGAAGCTCACCAGAAACATCTGCACAAGCTCAATCAAGCTACGCTCACCAATTCCATCAGCTTCGACTTTACTCAACACAAAAAGAACCAGCTTCCGCCAGTTCCACAGCACTCAATTCAAGATGGCCGTCCCACCCAAGTTTGCTGGCCAGAAGCTGCAATTCGCAAAGCCTCAGACGCCCGCCACTACCGGCGTGGCCGCCACGACGCATAACCTCGAAGTCTACCTGGACTACGTCTGTCCCTTCTCCGCAAAGCTGTTCAACACCCTATACAACACCGTGGTCCCCCTCATTCGCGAGAGCGGCGAGTGGTCGCAAGGCCTCGAGATTGTCTTCCGCCAGCAGGTCCAGCCGTGGCACCCTTCCTCGACGCTCGTGCACGAGGCCGCCGTTGCCGTGCTGCAGCTCCAGCCCGAAAAGTTTTGGCAGTTCAGCGACGCCCTCTTCAAGCAGCAAAAGGAGTACTTTGATGTCAACGTGGTCAATGAGACTCGCAACGACACCTACAAGCGCCTGGCCAAGCTCGCCGCCAGCGTCGGCGTCGACGAGGCTCAAGTGTTTGATCGCCTCAAGATTAGTGACAAGCCCGGCGAGGACGGCAGTTTGAACAGCGGCAACAAGGTCACCAATGACTTCAAGGTCCTTGTCAAGATGGCTAGATTGGTGGGTGTTCATGTCAGCCCGACGGCCATCTTTGATGGCGTGGTCGCCAATGACATCAGCTCCGGCTGGGGCAAGCAGGAGTGGGCCGACTGGTTGACAAAGAACGTGGTGTAAGCTATAGCCATACACTCAGATAGCTTGGAGCTTGGGGGTAATGAATGATTTTATAGAGCGCACACCGATAAATTCAATAGAACATCATCAAGACTGTGAAAGGACAATTTGTCGACAAATACTTCTCGTGAAACATTTGGATTATACAACGCAAGAACAAGACGTATACTGAGTATAGGTTTCTTCAATAGTACCTACTAGTAGGGGTTGTAGGACATGGCTTAGCGGGCTTCCAGGGCACAGACCCAATAGGTGCTAAACGCGGTCGGCCATTGAATTCTCTACGCGGTCTTCCAAGCTAAACCAACCATCATCCTTCTGGTCCAGTAAATTGTGAAATCAGTTCACCATGTTGCTTGTCGCAACCATCAGGAGGTCTCAAACAAGCTCCTTGAGACCTCTGCTACGTTCGTTTCAAGCCCAATTGCCTGTGGCGGGCATCAGATTACAAGTATGTAGGCGACTGGCATCAACATCGACCAAGGCCACGCCAAGCGCCAAAGACGCCGCAGCTCCAGCCGCCAAGTATAGTCAGTTACTTCAATGATACCTACCTCTTCTGACTTTATATACCATACTGACATGTAAGCGTAGAATACCCCGAAACATTACAGCTCTTCCACGCCGGTGTCTCTAGAATCACATTCCTGGCCTGTGTGAAATTGTCGACGATTCTCCTGTCGGCATTCTTCATCTTTGTCGTCACTCCAGGATACCACGCAAAAGAAGGCTGGAGCGCCACCACCATTCGCAGTGAGTGTGCAAAACAAGTTATAGATGTTTTCCGATGATATTAACCATGAGAAGCGGCCCTCTGCGGTGCCGTTCCCCTATTATTCGTAGGCTGGACCACATCGCCATTCGTGCTCATGATCACCACCAAGCTTCCGCCCTTTGCCCGGATATCCGAGCAATATCTCAAGCGGTATTTGGCAAATCTCCCAGCTGACACAGTCTTTGGTGTCACCACCATGAGTCCCATCGCCAAGCCCAGAACCAGCAAGGTTATTCTCTCAGAGCTTCGTCAGACAAACCGGAGATTGGGCATAGTAAACTACGTCCGAGACGCGGCGGCAGAAAATGCCACACGCAAGTGGTATAATTATCGAGCCGTGGACAAGTTCAGCATCCAGACCAATAACGCCAAGGGGCAACAATGGTATTGGGACGCCATAGCAAAACACATCCCCAAGGAAAAGCCTTGAGAGATCTTTGTACCTGTACATGTAAAACTTGTGAAGCAAATTGGCTTACAATGGTACTTGACACTATGTCAAGCCCGTCTCTTGAGGGGTTGATCCATATACTCAGGCATATGTAAAAAATACCAATAGCGATTGATCTAGGAAACAATGTTTATATGCAAGACGAATGCTGGCCAGTTCTCACCATGCATTGAATATTGTATTTCACAATGGTAATCCATCATTAGACTCTGCTCTATACTTCTCATTCTTCATCCAATTCGAGTCCGAGGTGCAATACTTGATGGAATCTTCATCTACACGGGGACACATTATCATACATAATGTAGTCGCTTGTTCATTCAGACATAACCAATCCCGGCGCAAAAGACGGTGCACCGACTCCGAAGTCGGAAAAGTGGATCGCGCCGGCCTAAAAACGCAGATCGGGGGAGTCTTTCTGGTTTTTCTCTGATCAGCCAGCCTTTCTAAAACCCTCCGACACGGAGCGAGCTACGATGATGACATGATAAGCAGCTTGTCGGCCGGGATGCATCATGCGTCTCGACATTCTCGACTCCTCCTCCATCCCTCGATCCGAAGCTGTATGTTGAGAAGCCCGAGCTTCATTCTCCGACGCACAATGGCTACGACTCAGGGTGGCAGGACATACAATGTGAGTCTTACAGTGAACCACCACCTAGCAACATCCCCCACCATTGAGCTCAAGCTCCCCATGATACCTTGCATACGTGCCCCTCCATACGCCGCTGTCTTGTCAGCAAAGACGTGACACGGCACTGCTTGTCAGAAAACATTCCATCTAACCAGTGGACTTTTGCATGTAGGATGCCATCGACGCTCTCAATTCCCTCCAGACCCCGTACGCCATCATCGAAGCCCGGCGCAAGGCTGGCATCCGGCCCGATGCCGCCTCCATCGCCGAGATGCGCGTCTACCTGCGGCGCATTGGCCTGAACCCCGCGGACCTCGACCGCCTCAACATTGTCCACGTCGCCGGCACCAAGGGCAAGGGCAGCACCTGCGCCTTTACCGCTTCTATATTGCAGCGCTACCAGGCTTCCCGGGGCGTACCGCGCCGCATCGGCCTGTTCACCAGCCCGCATCTGATTGCCGTCCGCGAGCGCATCCGGATCGACGGCCGCCCCATTGCCGAGGACCTCTTTGCCAAGTACTTTTTCGAGGTCTGGGACCTTCTGGGCCAGGCCGAGGAGCAGGAGAAGAAGCAACAGGCGGACGCCGATGCCTTGGGTGGCGAGGAGAGCAACAGGGGCGGCGTGCCCATGGCCACCCGGCCCATCTACGCCCGCTACCTGACGCTCATGAGCTATCACGCGTTCCTCCGCGAAGGCATCGACGTGGCCGTGTACGAGACGGGCATTGGCGGCGAGTACGACGCCACCAACATTGTGGAGCGGCCCGTCGCCTCGGGTATCAGCACCCTTGGCATTGACCACGTCTTTGCTTTGGGCGATACGGTCGACAAGATTGCGTGGCATAAAGCCGGCATCATGAAGACGGGCTGTGCTGCCTTTACCATTGAACAGGTACCCGAGGCCGCCGAGGTCTTGGTAAACCGGGCTCAACAAAAGGGCGTCGATCTCAAGGTCCTGGATGTCGACCCGAGGCTAAAGGGCATCGATGTCCGCCCCGATGCCTTGTTCCAGAAGAAGAATGCCACCTTGGGCGTGGCGCTAGCTGAAACGGCATTGACGAGACTTGACCCCAGCTTCAAGCGTGATTCCGAGAAGCTGCCTCAGGAATTCAAGGACGGCCTTGAACAGGTGGTCTGGCGCGGTCGGTGCGAAGTCAAGCCAGAAGGGCCAGTGGTTTGGCACGTCGACGGCGCCCACACGGTCGATAGTCTGAAAATGGCTACCAAGTGGTTCGCGGGTGAGTGCTCTGGGCGCAAGGGCCCCAAGGCGCTCATCTTCAATCAGCAAGGCCGGACTGAGGCGGTTGATTTCCTGGACGGCATGGTGGACGCGCTCAAGGCACACGGTCAAGGCGGATTCGCGCACGTGGTGTTTTGCTCCAACGTGACCTATGCAGCCACGGGATATAAGCGAGACTTTGTCAACTATCAGTATGATCCAGAGGCTATCAAGAAGCTGACGGCTCAGCACCAGTTTGCCGAGAAGTGGTCATCACTCGATCCAGAGGCAAAGGTGGTTGTTCTTCCCACTATCGAGGATGCAATCAACTATGTACGGGATCTGAGTAAAGATGTTCAAGGGGAGGAGACGGTGCAAGCACTTGTCACGGGCAGTCTCCATCTTGTTGGCGGCGCGCTGGGCATATTAGAGAAAGCGGATGCGCTTTGAACTTAATGAAGCAATTCAGAGCAAACAAAGGCGAATTGGGAGTATCATGTATAATTCAACATTACCTTGGAGCGTCGGGCTCCAAAACTTGTAGCAATGCCCCGATGAGGTGCAAACTTCCAGTGACTAATACCAATGTCTTTTGCTGAGAACCAAGCCCATCCTTTCTGACTTCTTCGATCGTATCGGTAATATTGTCACGTATAGCTGTTCGGCCTCCCGGGTATATCCTTTCATATGCGTCTCCAGCAGCGCCCTGCACCGACAAGTCCCTTTCAGCTTCTCCTTCTTTTCGCGGATGTGAATCATTTCTTGTAAAGATGGCTTCGTCAAAGGGGCACGCAGCGGCTCTAGAGCCCGACGGAATGCCAGCACATAATACCTTGAGCAATTTGCCCACATCACGCTCCTGCTGATTAAAGACCAAGACCTTTCGTGCATCACTGTCCGCATCCGCCTTGCTCGCAAACCACTTCGCGACCTCGTGCAGGCTCTCGGCAGTATGCGCGCCATCAATGAGCCACGTGATATTGCCGTCCGCTCGAGTCTCGCACCGGCCTCGAAGCTGAGCTTGTTCCAGGCCGTGGCGCATAGCCTGCTCGAGGGTCTCCTGGGTAAGAGACTGGTAGGCTTCCCCATCGCACAGTTGGAGGTGTTCCGGCACCGCCGCCCGGACCAGAGCCCGGTTGTACTTTTGGAACTCGCCGGCGAGACTAGGGGTGTGATGTGCTGCCGAGATACTGCTCTCCTCGGCTTGTGCGTCCGTCACCTCGACCAAAATAGCCTTCTTCTCCACGGCCCGGGCGCGAATGACCTTCATGGCCTCCTCCTCTGCATCTCCGCCCTCGAGCTTGCGGGTAAAGATCTTGCGCCCGGCCTTGGCAATGCCAATCTTGTGCCAGGCAATCTCGGGCAGGGTGCCGCCCAGCATGCCGACGTGGTCAATGCCGAGCTGGGCCACGACGCCCGCCGTCACGGCCCCCGGCGGCAGGATGTTGGTCGAGTCGTACTCGCCGCCAATGCCGCACTCGATGACGGCGCTGCGCACGCCCTCGCGCAGAAACGCGTACAGGGCCATGATCGTCAGGAAGCGAAAGTAAAACGGCTTGGTCGCCGGCCCTCGGAGCTCGGCCTCGACCTCGTCGCTAATCTGCTGCTGCTGCTCTTGGCCAGTCGCCGCCACGTACTCGGCCCTTGCCGACGCCGTCATGGCGTCCCAGACCTCGAAAAAGTAGCGCGTAAAGAGCTCGCGGCCTATGGGCTCGCCGTCGAGCATGATGCGCTCGCGCACCGTGATCAGGTGCGGACTCGTATAAGTGCCCACGCGGCCGGCGACATTGCGGAGCTCGGGCTGCGTCAGCACCGACGTCAGGTACGCGCAGACGGACCCTTTGCCCTTGGTCCCGGCCACGTGGACGCACCTGAGGCCGCACAGGTCGTCGGGCGTCAGCCCGGCCCGGCCGAGCCAGGCAATGACCTCGGGAATGGCCACGGCATTGAGGTCTTGAGCCTTGTCGTTGCCGCCCTTGCTGTCGTCTGGCGCCGTGACTTTGGGAGAGAATAGCGACGTGATTGCGAAATTGGACTGCAGAGACGCCAGATGCGACAGGGCATCTTCATAGGTGCGCGACATGGCAGATTTATATCGCCGGGCTTGGCGAAGCGGCTTCGGGGCCCCGACCCGGGAGAATTCACAAGGCGACCAGCGGATATGAGAGACGAGGAGAAGCCCAGTTAATCGACTCGATAGATACTTCATACCACTTTTTGTGTCATTGAAACTCCTTTGACAGCCTCGAGCTGGAAATTTTAGCCACCATAATCCTGTCATTGCGGTCGTTGGATTATGACTTGTGAGCCTGTATGCTGCAGCTGCTGCCAGGTGGCCGTTTCTATAAAATAGGCCTCCGAAATCTCCTGGATTTGCATATGCCCTGCCCGATGAACCACGTCTTAACCGATTCAAGCTTTGGAGGAATGAATGCTCAAGCTATGATTTGTAATCTATTTCGTGCAAGAATAGATGTCCTGTAGTAGAAAACTCCGTGGAACTTGCCTCATGACCAGGAGCAGTGGGGGAAAATTGGATGAGTTTAGTACAATATTGCATTTATTTGTAGCTAGGCTCTACTTTGGTATATATCTTCTCAAACCTTTCTCTGCTCAAGTCGCCCTTGGATGGGCCATTCTGCGTCAGTCCTGGATCCGAATCCGAATAGCGCACTCTATCATAATTCCTCGTCCCAATAAATTTGTTTATTATAAGCAGCCAACGCCAACCATGCATTCTAGGAAGTCTTTTTTCGTTTCCTGATTCCGTTTGTGGACCTTCTAGACAAGCCGTTTACCGAATCTAGAGAGACCATCTACTGTTCAGCAGCAAAACTCGTCATACTGCTAATCTAAAAGTGAGATGCGCGACCCTTTCCGTGGCTAGCTTCCTCAATCATCTGGTCGAGGCACCCCGAAGCAGCGGCTACAAAACCAAGGTACGTGGGAGATGGGTCCAAAACCTTGCTGGTGTACTCGGGGTGTGCTTGCACACTGTAATATGATGTTAGTCATTTGTCTTGGAGTAGTCCTCTTTCTCAACTTACCCAACGAAGAAGGGGTGGTCCTTGATCTCAATGCACTCAACTCTGACGCCTTGGCTATCGAGAGCAGTCAAGGAAAGTCCAGCCTCCTCGAGCTTCTCAATGTAATCGGGGTTGACCTCGTAACGGTGTCGGTGACGCTCCTCAACAACATCTCCGCCACCGTAGATGGCGCGAAGCTTGCTCCACTCGGTGCCGGGCTTGAAGTGGGATGTCCGGGTGCCGAGTCTCATTGTGCCACCCATTTGCCTGTTATAGGTTAATACTTGTTGCCAAGCTGATAATCCGAGACCCGAAAATGAAGAAAACTCACTCCTTGGAACCCTCGGGCATAAAGACAATAACGCGGTTCTCTGCGTGAGCAGAAATCTCCTCAGAAGTAGCACCCTTGAGACCCATCTCGTTACGGGCGTATTCCATGACGGCAACCTGCATTCCGAGGCAAATACCCAAGAAAGGAACCTTGCGCTGGCGTGCCCACTTGGCGACCTCAATCATTCCCTCCACTCCTCTAGAGCCGAAGCCGCCAGGGACAAGAACACCCTGAGCCTCACAGACAGCCTTCCAGGCGTTGTGGTACTTGGGCGGGTCCTTCTGTTGCATATCGTGCTCGAGGTGCTCGGAATCAACCCAGATGAGGTTCAGCTTCCGCTTGCATCTCATGGAGGAGTGCTCAAGCGACTTTCGGACACTGAGGTAGGCGTCTTCGAGAGCGACGTACTTGCCGACCAGGACAATGTTGACAGGAGCGAGGTGCTGCTCGGGCACGACTGTCTTCTTCCAGAGATCCCACAGAGCCGAACCCTTGCTGACCATGTCGGGGGACAGCACGTGCTTATCAAGGGCCAGACCCTTGCGCAGCAGCTTCAGCAAGCCCTGCTCCTCTAGGAGAAGGGGAACTTGGTAAATGGTCTCCATGTCACGCACGCCAATAACCTGCTCGAACTCGACTTGGCAACTTCTAGCGACCTTGTGTATCGTGCCGTCATCCAGGGGTCTCTCACAGCGACAGGCAATCTGAGTGGTCGTTAGGTCTGGTCTCGCCACTGCAAATTGATGGGTTCTCTTACCGCGTCTGGAATGAGACCAGCACTTCGCATCGATCTTATGGCATTCTGGGTGGGCTTGGTCTTTTCCTCTCCGTTGATGATTGGGACGTATGACACGCCAATGTTGAAAAAGTTCTCTGGGCCAAGTCTGTGTCTGAGCTGAACCAGTGCCTCAATGAAGGGACCAGACTCGAGATCACTAATAATTGGTTAGTCATAGTCCTATGCTGGACAGTTTTGAGAGTAAAGACTTACCCAACTGTGCCACCCTATCAGATTGCAAGTTAGTATCAAATGCGCTTGTTCCTATTTGAAGCCAGAAGACATACCAATTCAACTAGTACAAATGTTAGCATTATTTTCGACTTTCAATGCAATCATGAAGGAAATAACGTACTGATGCAGACATCCGGCTCGGCGCCGGAATCGTCAACTGGGATCTTTGCGACGCGCTCGATCCACTCCTGGATGGCGTCTGTGATGTGAGGAACGACCTGAACAGTCTTTCCAAGGTAGTCTCCTCGCCTCTCCTTGTCCTGCACAAATTTGTCAGCCACTGCCATCGCTATTCATCTGGATCTTATCGGGTTTCATACAATGACCAGCTTGTAGATCTTGCCGGTGGTCATGTTGCTGTCATGACTCAACTGAATGCCGAGATATCTTGATACTATCGTGAGTCATGGCGCCAGAGGTTCGAAATTTGGCAGATTTACCTCTCGTAGTTTCCGAGATCCAGATCCGTCTCTGCACAATTCTCAGCTTGACGTCCATCAATCAGAACTTGCACCTTTTCTTACCGCCACCATCGGCCAGAACGAAGCACTCTCCGTGCCTAGAGGTTCAATCAGTCACATGCAACCCAGAGAAGCAGCAATAATCCTACTCGAGAGGGTTCAAGAGTCCGGCATCTGTGTTCAGGTACGGGTCTAGTTTTTGTGCCTGAAGCGGAATGAGCATCAACTAGTCAGAAAAATTGCAGCTTCCGGGGGTTTCATACAGTGACACGGAGACCCAGGGTCTTCAAAAGCAGACCGGCACTGCTGGCTTTTCACACACGAGAATCTATCAGCAGACGAAGACCACGGGACCGCCTGGTTTGTATTTACCAATAATGCCTAAAGGAATTGAGAATTAGCACAGTCACTTTACAAAGAGGCTATCTTGAAAATGCACTTGGCGATGGCGATGGCGATAGTGGGCTTGGTCCATCTGATATGGCACAGCAAGCAGGCGGGCAAGCACATGGAAAGGCAAGAGGTTCAGCGCGCGGTCGGACAGAACTCACCTTTGCCGACACCAGAAATGACACCACCGTTTACGAGAACGACCTTCATCTTGGGCGATTTGCAAGAACAAACTGGGGATTAACAACGTAAAAGAGAGGAAAGGTGCTGAATAGTGCCCGTGAGGATTTGTTGGATCTTCACCGGCGCAATGTCAAAAAGGTTGTGGCTGCTGGTCGTCGACGTCGAAAAAAAGATAAAATCCAGAAATGGCCAACCCCACTACGCTGCCTAACAAAGCTGCTAGCTCTCTCTGGGGCGCGTCAGTGCGACAGAGGTGAAAAAAAATTCCCTGCGCGCGCCTCGTCGCCAACCTAGACTCGGACGAGTCTCACCTTGAATTATGACGCCTAATTGGTTTGACTTCTGACGCTAGTCTAAGTCTGGGCTAGCTTGGACGTACGACTCGAAGTTTTTCATGTACAATAACAAGTCTCTTATGCACCACTTGCTTTCTGCTTTTGGCATTCATTAAATCTCTATACTCAATCCCGTCGATTCGCACTATGAGAGACTATTTCACACAAGACAACTGTTTCTTTCCACCAGGTTTGGTAGTCCTACATAAAGTATATCCGGGAGCACAGAACAAGAGCTTCGTAGTATCGACTACCCACATGTCGGGGACTTGGTCGTCATGCATGGATGTGGATTCTATGAGTCAGTAAGCATCGCCTCATGTTCATGTCGTTCTTCTCTACACTTTATGGAATGCCATAATATTTCAGATGTCTCTTTTTTTTTATGTATTGGGTAGAAGGTGTATTCTTCATCTAGCTGGTTCTGATTACGTCCCCTCCCTCTTGAACCGAGCGGCGTGGTTGATGAACGACTTGTGGCACTTGGAAGTTGGAACCATTAATCTGGGTATTGCTGGTGCGAGTGTGTTCCCCAAGACTCCAGAGGCCAATCCAATAACGATAGTCTATGCAATCTCTGAGCGAGCAGTTGGCTCCGTAGAAGATGTGAGAGATCAAAGAGATAGAGAACGATTGAGTATGTAGTCGGATGGATCATTCAATCAGATCACAAAACATTATCCATTGACGGAATAGTCTTGGACTGGTGTAGGGGAACTGGCTCTGCTGAGTGTTGTCCTGCATCGGCCACTGGCTCTGGGTGTTGTTCTGGGGATGGAAGCCACCTCGGCCTCCGCCACGGCCTCCACGGCCTCTGCCCCGTGTGCTCTGTCCGTTCATGGCGGGGCAGTTTCTCCAACTGTGGTTAGGATCGTTACAACCGAAGCAAAGCTTGCTCTCCTTGCGGTACTTGTACTATGACTGCGTAAGCTTCGGGTATCCTGCTTGCTGCATGACTGCGTTGATTTTGTCGATCTCCATGGGGTCTGGGTCTGAGCTATCAGAGTTCTGATTGCCGTTCTCTTTGTTGCCTCCACCTTGGTTGCCGAAGAGCTGGGTGTTGCCGTTACCACGCATTGCTGCGCGTCGACTGTTGTCGTCAAGCTTGGAGTATAGCTTTACCCATCCCTCGTTTTCATCACCCGCCGGGGGCTCCACCTGGTATGCGACTGCATTGGTCAGTGTGGTGTTGACGCGGGCTGCCAGCTGGGAGACCTCTTAACCGTACAAAATAATGTGGTTTCGCCTTGTTAAGCTTTTCAATATTTTATAGAGGCGGAATCACGATGGCGATGCCACGGTCTGTCGCATTTGGCCATGGAGCTCTGCAGTGTTCGCCACGCTTCCAGGAGCCTCATGATTGGAAGTGTTGCTGGCCATAGGGCTGGCTTGCAGGTATGTACTGCGTCTGCAATGATTCTCTCAAATATAAAGTCGTTGAACCTCTGGTGAATGAGAGTTTCCACAGCCTCGGGGTCGTTTCTGACTGCACCCTCTCCATTGTGATCGGGGTTCTCTCCATCGCGGTCGGAATCCTCTTCCGAGTGCTCGTCTGAGAATAGCCAAGGAAGGCAGCCGACGCCATCCTCATTTCCTCCAGTCATGTCGTCTTCGACATCATCGCGATCTGCATTATCATCGTCACTGTCGCCAGAGAACTCGGAGACGTCTGATTCCTCTGAAGAGGAGCTCTCCTCCTCCACGTGTTCCTCCCTGCTGTCCAGCTCTTCCTCAGATTCGGCCTCGTCATCTGATACGACGAAATTGGCAAAGTTGCCACGAGGGTCGATTCCGCTCCTGATGCCAGCTCCGCTGGATCATTGCTTAATCAGCTGAGTTGGCGTAATTCGTCGACGGAAGCCATCGTGTGCTGTATGTTATCGTTGGCAGTGTAAACAATGTTGCCTGAAAGCAACGGCAAGGTAAATAGTATGCCAAGTTATTGCATTGGCACTGGCATTGCGGCGAAGCCAGTACTTCAGCAGCAGGTTAGGCGGGTGCTGCTGATATGACAACCATGTAAGCTGGCCTGGTTGGACTGGCTTGCCCGAATAGTAGGGCATTCACCTGGGCGTAGTGTGCCACATGAGCCCATTGTCCTGAAGAGCTTTTTGAAAGCGCTTGTTCCACCTGCCCAGCCCCAGAACGTACATGCCAACATGCCACAAATATGGCGATGTATTCCAAAGAGCTCAGACGTGAGCCGACTGGACTGACTGGGAGAAACTGCGCGTGGACGTCGAGGAGCGAAATTTGGTTCGTCTCAAAACAAACCAGTCTTTAGGTGGTGCAAAATGGCGGGAACTCATCAAATCAGCGACAAGTCGTGGTCTATCATGTCCTCCAGCGGCGGTTCGTCAAGTCGAATAAGATTAAGAATCATTTTGGTGATTTTGCCACTTTGGGACCAGGGTTAGTAAAGGATGTTCCAATCTGAATCTCCATCTCGCCCGGCAAATTCAACATCAATAATGGACCAGAATCGTGAGAACGTCTCGCCGTCTGGCATTGTGCCTCGGTAGCAGATCAACTGCCACTATAATTGCTTTGGGCATATCACTTGACTGGGTCATTTCTAAGATCCCTCTTATGTCTCAATGATATGGTATCGCTGACATCTAGCCAGATGTATTCGTGAAAAATTCAGCATTGGTTTGATAACCTAGGGAAAGCGGCGCTCTGATGATGATGGAATTTATCATCAGACAAAGGCGCGAGTTTATGAATATAGTGATTGGAAAGCTATATGACGGTGAAGGATAGGAATTTGTTTTGAGAAGGGAAGAGGGAAATGTTCAAAATATCTTTGAGCGTGGAAATTTAAACTCATGAACCATGATTGTGTTTCTTGTTTTGCCATTACATCCCGAATGCTCAAACACTTGAGAGTCACTATGATTGTCAGTATTCTGTGTCTCACCATCACACTAAGAAACACGCAACTAGCTCACAATTTGCTATCGCATCATGATAAACATGTTTTCTCCATGTATACAATCAAGTTCCAATGCCCGAATCTACTCATTGCTGTCCAAATCGGATAACGAACAGGAGCAGCCCTCTCCCCCATGCAGAACAGAGGGTTTGCTGGGCACGCCGCGGGAACGGGAGTGGCTTTGGCGTGTTTGGAAGCCCAGGGTCCGTCCCACTGGCCCACCAGATTTAGCGTCCGGGGAACTTGGAACCCGCTGATAATAGGTACATTCGGGTTCTTGGCCTCTTGGCCGCATCTTTATTATAGCCTCATCCCATGGGAGATGTTCTGTATGTCAGCGACTGATGCACTCAATCTCGCCGTGTTACATTGCACAACTGAAAGAGTTGATGCAATGTTGGCTGCCCACAACATGGGCTAATCACGAAAACTAATAGACATGATGTCATGGAATTGTGCTTCGGCTACCGCTGATGCGATAGGGCCAGGTACCTGCACACCCCGCATTCTGTTTTATCTATGGGTCCCGTTCTAATATGTAATCGTTGTTGGTCATGATCTTATTGAAAAACATGCGACGCCGATTCTGGTCAATCATAGTACTACTACGGGCACGTCTGGTCGGGCAATGATTTGCATTTGAGCTCTCGCACTTAAATTGCCCTGTTCGGGTAACTGCCGACGGTCCGGCCGTTATCAGTCGCCTCTGATCCCGTATGTAGTATTCCTGTGATCATATCTTTTGCCGTTTCTGCTCGCCCGTGGTTCTCTCTCTTCATCAATCCGCCAAGATTTGTCCCTGCCGATTAGTTTCTGGTGATCATCGTTTTGCAGTGATCTGTTGCTAGGATTACTCACTGCCTTTGTGCGAATCTGTGTCTTGGCCACGATGACCGACGCCGAGGTTGAAAACAAGGGCGCATACCCTGGGGAAGACATTGAGAAAAAGACAGTGTCAAATGAGCAGGGTCGTCAACATGAAGTCGGAACCATCATGCATGCCGATACCAATGATGCCGATGAGGCCTACAAGGTCTTTGTGGAACAAGCCGGCGAGGTCCTCGACATAACGCCCGAGGAGGAACGTCGGTTGTTGAAAAAGATTGACTGGAATCTCAGTAAGTTTTGAGCAATTATCCTCATACACACGGTATAATTCCTAACATGGCACATTATAGTGCCTCTCTTGTGCCTATGTTATGGCCTCAACTATCTTGACAAAACGGCCATTTCTTATGCAAGCGTCATGGGATTAAAAGTGAGTTCACTGCTCCAATCACATGTATTTTTGACTAACAAATACGACTGCAGACAGACATCAATCTAGTTGGTGGGTGCCACAGCACAAGACTGTCGGGGAAAATCATCTAGGCTGACAAACATACAGGTCAGGATTATAGCTGGGTTGCTTCCATGTTCTACTTCGGTTATCTCGCCTTTGAGTGGCCAACAAACCGCCTCCTGCAGAGATTCCCACTGGCCAAATACTCTGCCTTCAATATTATCATGTGGGGTTTGACACTCTGTTGCATGGCTGCAGTCAAGAATTTCGCCGGCGCAATGACTGTGCGCTTCTTTCTCGGCGTCTTTGAAAGTGCCGTGTCCCCGGGATTCGCGCTTTTCACTAGTCAATGGTGGACTATTCGCGAGCAGGTCAGTACTTGGTTTCTTAAATGTCAGGTCACTTACACTCATTTACTTAGGGTTCCCGAACAGCGATATGGTTCAGCTTCAATGGATGGGGTCAAATTCTTGGTGGATTCATTGCATATGGCATTGCAGTCGGAACAGAGGCACACCCAGTTGCTATCAAGAGTTGGCAGCTCGTATTCCTGGTAATCGGCTTCTTCACCGCTTCCATGTAAGTCTGAGAAGTCAACTCGGCTCGTAGCCACCTGACGTTTTCCTTGATTCTTGAATAGAGACAAACTGACATATTGCGACTTGATAGGGGCGGTCTGTTTCTATACTTTATGCCCGACAATCAACTCAATGCACGATTCCTGACTCAAAAGGAGCGTCTCATGGCCGTGGAGCGTATCAGAATCAACCAGCAAGGTGTAGGCAACAAGCATTGGAAGCTGTATCAGGTCATTGAGGCATTGAAAGACCCGATGGTTTGGGCATTCGTCTTTTACAGCGTAGTCGCCGACATCCCCAACGGTAAGTATCCGGAATCGTATGGCACAAGTTAGACACTAATTCGTTGCGTAAAGGTGGAATTTCCAATTTCTTCTCTCAGCTCATCGTGTCGTTTGGATACACGAACACGCAGTCGCTGCTGCTAGGCACGCCTGGTGGAGCTGTAGAGGTCGTGGCCTTGGTCGTTGTGGGGTGGCTTGGTGATCGATTCAAGAACCGACTTGTAGGTGCTATCGGGAACCTCAAATGACCGGACTATTGCTGACTCTGTGACACAGCTCATATCAACATCTGGACTTCTTATTGCCGCGCTTGGAATGCTCCTCATTGCTTGTCTACCAGAGTCGAACAATGTCGGCCGCCTTGTGGGGTACTATCTTACGCAGGCGTCGCCTACCCCATTCGTGGCCCTTTTGTCACTTATTTCGACCAATGTTGCTGGCTGGACCAAGAAGACGACAGTTGCTGCATTGTACCTGATTGGATACTGCGTTGGCAACATTGTTGGACCGCAAATCTTTTTGGAAAAGGATGCACCTCAGTATCGGCCTGCCGAGATAACAATCATTGTCTGTTATCTTGTCTGCGTGGTCGATATCATCTTTATTTACTTCTGGTGCAAGCGAGAGAACAAGAAGAAGGAAGCTATTCGGTCGGCACCTGGATACACCAAGCTGACGGGGCAAGAGTTCTTGGATCTGACTGATCGGGAGAACCCTGAATTTATATATAGTTTGTAGGGTTCAAAATTCGGTTGGTTTTCAGCATAGAAGAACGAGGTTGGCTATTTTTTCGCCATTTTGAACGAGTAACATCGATAATACAGAACAGTCAGATATCTACATCCGCTGCAAAGTATGTCCATATTTGTCTGCCTTTGGAAAGCCAGAATTACACCAATGCCAAAATGCTCTTGGGTATGTGGAGAAAAGAAACTAGAGGTACGCAGGTAGTATAGTCAATCAACTAGATGCTCGCTAATACAATAAATAGGTGGATTCTACTATGGAGAACATAGAGCATATTTTGTTTCAAACTACATACTGTTGGTATTGACAGCTTTCATGCGGTTTGAACCTCGAACGCATCGACCAGGTAATTATCCCAGGTCAAGACTAGGCCAGTTCAACTTACCGAGGAAATGCACGGGAATACACAGAGGATCGCCAGTCTCGGTTGTTGCAACATGTCCGGGGTAGCGGATGCATGTGCGGGGAAACAGCCAACCCGGTAACACCTCACTGCCAACCCAGACTACATTCAAGTTTGGGGGCAGTAGAATTCGGGGTAGCATTAATACTTCCTTTGGATGGCACAGCAAATATCGTCCAGTACAGACTCGGCTTGATTTCAGCATCAACTTTCACCGCCTCTCCTCCAGCAAAAGTGAAGTTCGGAACAGAAACCGGTTCAAGCTTTAGTGAACCTAAAACATCTAGACTTTGGCAGACCATTCACCATCTGCACCCGGGCACTGGACTGATCAACGATGCATCATCCGCAAGATGAAGTTCATCAACATTCCCTCAAAGACCCCGAGTCTTTCTGGGGCCATCAAGCCGAGCAACTCTACTGGCACAAAAAGCCCGACAGCATCCTCGCGCGGACTGGTAAGACTCTGAAAAGCGGCACGAGACATCCAAGCTGGGAATGGTTTCCTGGGGGAGAATTGTCCAACTGCTTCAACTGCGTTGATCGACATGTGCTGGCTGGCAACGGAAACCATCCTGCCATCTTCTACGACAGCCCAGTAACCACGACAAAACAGACCATTACATATGCGCAACTTCTCGACGAGGTAGAGACGCTCGCCGGCGTCCTACGGGACGAAGGTGTCAAGAAGGGTGATGTCGTGCTCATTTACAGTAAACAAAAAGGCCTCCAATATCGCCGCCGAGCAAATTTTGCTGACATCTGAATAGTGCCAATGATACCGGCAGCTTTGATCGGCATCCTCGCCATCAACCGTCTTGGTGCCGTTCACGCAGTCGTCTTTGGTGGATTCGCCGCATCATCTTTGGCCCAGCGCATCGAAGCATCAAACGCCGTGGCCATTCTCACAGCTTCATGCGGTATTGATGGAAACAAACCGCCAATCAGCTACAAGCCGCTCATCCGGGAGGCCATCCAGCTCTCAAAGCACAAGCCCGAGAGAGTACTCGTATGGCAGAGAAATGAGCTGCGTTGGGATCCTCTGGACAAGACCGGAGGGGAGCGGAATTGGTTCAAGCTGGTCAGAAGCGCGCGAGCCAGGGGTATGAGGGCAGACTGTGTTCCGGTCAAATCCAGCGACCCAATCTACATAATCTACACGAGCGGCACGACTGGTTCTCCCAAGGGAGTGGTCAGAGATGCGGCCGGCCATGCAGTCGGACTGCATCTCTCCATCAGCTATCTTTTCGGGGTTCATGGCCCTGGAGATGTGATATTCACTGCAAGGTCAGTCCTTTGACACAATTCCCGGCCACCCTTTGACCATCACTAAAGAATCGACATGCTTACGACAACAGTGACATTGGATGGGTTGTAGGACACAGCTTCATCCTGTATGCGCCGCTTCTCACGTAAGTAAATCCAGTCTCCCCATATGTGCATGGCCCTTGGAACGTCTTGCTGATATATCTCTCATAGGGGAGCCGCGACAGTACTCTACGAAGGGAAGCCTATTGGAACTCCAGATAGCTCTAGTTTCTGGCGTATTGTACAGGTGAGTCCAACCTTCGAAGAGACCTCTAGCAAACATGCGCTAACCATTGTGCTTGCACCTAGGAATACAAGGTCAACAGTCTTTTTACAGCACCAAGTAAGTAAAACAAACAAAGTTCACATGAGGATAACTATACTAACATGGACAGCTGCACTTCGGGCTATCAAAAGAGATGACCCAGAAAATAAACACTTGGAAAGAATTGGCGAGAATGGAGGCCTCAAGTCGCTCAGAGCTCTGTTTCTTGCTGGTGAAAGATCAGAACCGTCAATCATTTCCATGTATCAGCAACTCCTTCAAAGGCACGCTGCACCAGGCGCCACAGTGATCGATAACTGGTGGTCTTCAGAATCAGGCTCTCCAATTTCTGGACTCAGCCTATACCCACACGCTGGCAAGGACAGGACGATAACAGACAGGCAGGAAAAGCCCTTGAGTGTGAAGCCAGGCAGTGCTGGAAAGCCAATGCCGGGCTTTGATGTCAGAGTTGTGGACGACGATGGTAATGAATTGAAAAGAGGCAAGATGGGCAATATTGTCATGGCAATTCCGCTGGCGCCCACAGGCTTTCGAACCCTGTGGCAGGACGAAGAGAGATTCTATAAAGGATATCTCAAAAGATTTGGTGGGAAATGGCTCGACACTGGTGACGCGGGCATGATTGACTTGGACGGATACATAAGTATCATGAGCCGAAGCGATGACTTGATCAATACTGCAGGTCATCGTCTATCTACAGGTCAGATTGTCTCACATGGAAATGTTTATTTGAGCTTGCTAACATCAATGATAGGTGCTATTGAACAAGCCATTACCAGCCATCCCCTGGTGGCAGAAGCAAGTGTGATAGGCATACCAGACAACCTCAAGGGTCAGCTGCCGTTTGCCTTTATCACGCTCTCGGTTCCCGATCATCCTTCATCTGCTATACCAGACAAGAAGATTGGCGATGAAATTCAGAAGCAAGTACGGACCCAAATAGGTGGCATCGCGACCCTTGGCGGCATCATACAAGGGAAAAACATGATTCCTCGCACTCGGTCTGGCAAAACACTGCGAAGAGTGCTGAGAGAACTGGTTGAGAATGCAGTCCACGGCGATTTTGATAAACATGTCACTTGGCCTGCAACTATCGAAGACGCTTCAGTCATAGATGTGGCTCGGAGTAAAGTTGCCGAGTACTTCAAGGAAAAGGGTACTGCACACAAGGCCATCGAGGAGCGTGCCAAATTGTAGTATTATAGATGTACTCGAGTCTAGAATAAGCGTTTCTTCTCTGGAATTCCAGGCCAAGAATAACCAACACAATGAACGGACCGTCGAATGCAAGACACTTGAGTAGCCGGATGAACAAAATATATCAGCTCATACATCAGCTCATGGAAACCATTTAACAGAAGGCTTGAAACTTTGATACGCCACAGAGCGGCTAGTTGGTGTGGCTTACCCAGCAAAGTCTCAAAAGGCTGTTGTCAGTTATATGAAATTATGACGGCTGCGCTTCACGTTTGTGTGGACGCCCAACCTTTGACACTCATATAGTTGCACTTTTGTTTCTGAGCTTACAGATGGCGTGGTATAATGGTTATGTTGAGCACTCATTTGCTCATCTTAAGTCCAATAGCTTTGCGATATCTGATTACATTCTTTGGAAGTTCTGCACATGTTCGTTGGCATTCACAAATGCACGTAAAAATGCAAAAGGGACCTTTTCTTTTGCATAAGCCAGTCACTTTCTGGCTGCCAAACTTGCGTAATGTACTCTGTAGGAGCAATGCATCTGGGTAACGCACCTCAACAAATTCTGCAGGGTGCGATTCACATTGCGCCGCTTAACTGCAATGCACAACCGCTCCAACGCACATTTATCTGCATATCTCATGCACTACTTTTTGTATTCAACATATCTGGTTTCTCCTCCCATGATCTCATGAGCTCGGAGAATAGCCCACAATGATCAAGGAGACTCAACAAGATAATACGAAGTGCTCATGGACCGAAATCTCGGCCCTTTGGCGGTGACCGGAACTCCAATATGTCCGTCATTCTTTTCTTAATCAAAAGGCAAGATTTTCATTTGACTCTATTTCTTTTCCACTTACTTCCAGCCTCATTGAGAGAGCAGGTATCTGGTACAAATTCATACGACCACGCCCTCTGGACAAGTATTTCATGGTATAGCAACAAGATGGAATAAACTCGACGTGTTCGAGAAAGGTTGACCGGATGACCTGTCACCGACTGAGAAAGCAAATAGCAACCAAAGCCCATTGGCCAATGAGATGCTTTGAGAGCAAAGTAAACATGCCATATTAACGTTTGGCAGATTTTGCTTGGCAAAGGGAGGCTGGGGGGGAGTCAAGGAAAAGAAGAAAAAGAAATGCTCTACATGAAAATATATGCTATCAAGGTTTCGAGACACTCCAATATGACCGAATACACTTTTTTGCATGGTTTCTTCTTTAGGGTATCGACTCTGTTTCGCAAAGCCATGATCGGTGTGTCGGAATGTATTCTCCTGCAAGCCACGTGCAAGGAACGCCCTGGCAGTCTGGAAAAAGACAAAAGCAAAATCTTCAAAGTAGGCCAGATTTGGAAACAAGCTTCTCGGGACCCAGAAACATGTTGTTTTTAGGTTTTGGATCAACACGCTCTTTCGCGCGATAGGAAACTGCGGGATTTTGACCACGGCTCGTTCGCATAAAATCACCGACATTTGGAATCGTGACAATCCCCTTGCAGAGAGGTTCAAGGCGATGTTCAACATTGATTACACCAAGAAAGAATAACGGGATCAAAGTATGTATGAATGTCGTCACTTGAGTTCTCCCGTGCGCAATGTATAACATATCTTGATTGAGCATGTCCTTTTTCGAATGCTCCTCCTCATGACAGTGCCGATCTGCCGAAAGCATCACCCCCAAAAAGTTATTATACCTGTCATCTACCGCATCAATTCGGCCTAATTGGTATAAAGTTGACAATTGTGGGGGGAATGTATCAACCATTACCATCATTACAGGTTACCTTGGCGGAATACAGCACAATAAACATCCAGCCCCTTCATTATCAAGCCTTGGCAAACATGTCTATGAATACGATTTGCGAACCGAGTAAACAGTGGCATTGACCATAAGTGGGAAGCCCAAAACGAGCCAAGCGGGTAGGTTAAGCTCTAGGTGTACTCTTTTGGTCAGTGATATGCTCACAAGGTCCAGCGCCAATAGTCACATTCGGCAATGGCCGCAACAATACCCGCCGATGCCTCCTCGGCCGCGATGGGATTAGATCAAGGTGTGTTGCAACTTTATAGAGCCCGTATGCTCGTCCCTGTGCCAAGCGTCAACGGTGCCTTAGCGAACCAAGGTGTTGGTACGCGATACTGTCCAAGTTCTTCCAAAGTTTCAAGTCCACAGTGCCTGAATGGAAATGGAACTGAACTCTATGGTATTCATCGCTTTCAGCCCTGTGACCTAAATCTGTGGGCGTTGGCCACTCGGAGGTGGTTCGTCATCCGGAGGCCGTGATGGCGTTGCTTTCGGTTCGCTAGACTTATCTATTGTAAGCTCTCCACGGGAGAACTTTGTTGAGCTCGGCGGTTTGGACGCCATGCCAAAGACGCTTTGTTGGCCTTTTGCGGCCATCTTCAGGTTGCTAAATCTTGCTTCCGGTAATCGCTTGCCAGCCTTGATACTCTCCATGATCCTGTTGACGCGTTAGTGGTTCATGCTCCTTTTGATGGTTTCGTACTTTCACGGGTATCTGACCATTCGACTCCCACAAACTTCACGGCAGCGCCACCAACTTTTTGTATCTCCTTTTGAAGCTTGCCTCCGGCGAGGCCTCCACCACCACCGTTGCCACCACCGGCTGGACGTCCAAGTATGACATGCGTGACTTGCCTCCTACCCAGATGAATTGACATTCTGGCACCGTGTTCAGCGAGTAAATGCTTGAGTTTGTGGTCTGATATAACGGGGTATGTGCTGCCATTGACGTAGACCACGACGCCATCGAAAATCTTTCTTGGTCTGTCGATCTTCTCCTGCTGCGATTCATCCTCTGACTTGCGCCGCCTCGCCAAGTTTTCCTCTGCCGTCAGTTTGTTTTCGTCTCCGTTGGCCAACGAGGACTGGTCGGACCCCCGTGATGTCGAGCTCAAGCTCCGTTTCATGGTCCCCGGTTTGACCAACATGTCCATGACTGAATTCTTGGCTCGAGCACGAAGCTCCGGTGGCACAATGCCTTGCAATTCTGGATCCCAGTGTTGTGATCCCGCCCCGACGGCATCAGACATGCGCTGGCCGCCGCCGGCTCCGCTCCGGAATTGTGACTGAAGCTTTGCGCTCCTCGAGTCCCGCCATCCTGTACTTCCTCCCAGGCGGTTTTCTGCTCGCTGGTGGCCGGTAGACGAAGAGTTCCACGGATCAAAAGATGAGCCAAACTTGGGCGTGGCGGCCTTTGGTATATCTGATTTGTGTGGTGATGGCATTGGTGATATTTATCTACAAGACTGCTTATGCATAAAGAGAGAGACCCAGCAAACGGGCACAGGATCGATCCTACGTCGGCTGTTGTAATGTATGCACATGCACCAAGAACGGAGGCGTAGTAGAATTTGCTTATGCTGTTGGTTCTCTGTGCATTATCGTGAGATGCAAATATGTAGATACAATAATAAGCTTGCATGCATAAAGCACGCGCCCGCGACCCTGAGATTTTGTCCCAGCTGGCGGCTGCATTTGTCGATGTCATGACTCGTTGCGGTGCCAATGACAACGGCACGCCTGCACACGAAAACACGTGACGTTGGTGCCTTAGGGTCTAATTGCACCTAGACAATGATGCACCTCAAATTCCAGCGCACTCCAGTTGTTAGTCAGATGTACTAATAACTACCGTAGAGCTAAGATAAAAATATAAACCGCCATTCAGGATATCATATTCTCAGCCTTCACTCCCACTGCAACATATCTTGGTGACCACGAAACATTCATTGGTCACTGTGGAAGTCAGCTGTCGCCGCAGCAAGCGACGACACCCCCGACATAGAAAGATCCACATACCTACGTACGAATACATGCGTACGGCCGCATTGAACGCCGTTTCCTGTCAACCTTGCAAGTACTCTGACCTCCCCGGTCTGATTCGGATGAACAAAGAGGGCAGAGAGGGGGGTGGCAGACTGATTCCTGGCTCGGCCAACAGCACGCGAGAACAGCACGAAAACGCACATCAAGCCTCCCCCGGCTGCGTCCAATCGGGTCTTCTTGCACAGCTCTCGCATCGCCGCGCAGCAAGCAGCAATGTTTCTGCGCTGTAAGTGCGGCTCGCTCAGAAAATCATTACCAGGGGGGCGCGCCCAGATGGGAGGGGAGGGAGGACCCGGGGGTTGGGCAGCCTGACTGGCCTCCTTCTCTCTCTTTGCTGGCCTCTTTTTCTTGTCCTGTCTCGTCTCTCGCTTGTTTCGTGTGGGAGCCCGGACGGGAAATCAGGCGCCGGACATGAAGTCTTGTTCTAGGGCTCCCTGACACTGCTCGGATCTTGCCAATGTACGATTGTCAGGAGGCACCGCGCGCACATACACACACACACACACATGCTGCCGAACAAGTTGTTACTGCTGCTCTGCTTGCTAGGGGGGTCCCCTCCCCGCAGATCTCCATCGTCGTCACTATCCTCGGGCGATGGATCGAGGGTGTAAATTGACCAAAACGCAATGGCTGCTTCATGCATGTCAGTATTGCACAAGAGTCCTGCACCCTGGACGATATCCGTTTCCGCTATTCCCTTCAGAAAAATCTAACGCGGCCTGCCTCATATGGAAACCCTCCAGACTTTCTAAGCGACTAGGTTGGGTGTACCTAGGGAGAGGGCAAGCCAAGAGAGGGCAGCAGCCAAAGGAGGGGTGACGTGCGTCTCGCTATTTCTGGGGGGCTGGGCTGCTGGCGGGCAGTTGTTTTTGATGGCTGATGCGCTGCAAACTGCATTGTACTGCGCAGGCGGCAGGCTCAGCGGCAGCGGCAGCAGCCTATCTGTCCGGCTGACGAATTCTTTCTCCAGCGCATGTCCCGCCCATGAGAGGCAATGTGAAGTGTCGATACGCCACCTGGCTCCAAAAGCATGACCTGCCTTTCATTGCAAAGCTTCTCTCTGGCGCTTTTCCGCCTCCACTACTGGAAGCCATCAAGCAACCTCCTCTGCAATGAATTGAATCCAGAAGCGACAATCGGCCAGCCCAGATCCGCACAAGACAGGGGCATTGAGGCTGTAAAACTACTGTGGGCTCCCATGTATAATGAGATCTACTATTGCTGCACAGCAGAGCTTGACCAAGCGTTCATGCACGATAGGGTCGTTTCTTGCCTGGGTCTGGCCTGCCTGGCTCCTGTCTGTCGCGCACAGCGCAGCGCACATCTGTCAATTAGCATCGATCTTCCCCAGCATTTGTTCAAGCGGCCGAGCGAGCGAGCGAGCCAACGTCTTAGGATACACTAAAGACATGGCATGGTAATTCTGAATGCTGCTTGCTGGCTTGCTGGCTGGCTGGCTGCTGTATAATGGGCTCCTGCCAATGCTGCCGCTGCCGCCTGCATTCCCGTCTGTAATTGTGATCCTTCAGCCAAGCCTTTTCTTTTCTGCCGGCATGGGAGATCGCCACCTTGTGAACTCGCTGGCATTCACCACGGGTTCTTCCTTTTGTTCTTACTACATACGTACATGGTTTCCTTCCACCCTCCTCCATCCATCCTCCTCCTCTCCGCCAGCCTCATGGATCCTCTGTCCGCTGTGGTGCCACTTGCGGTGTTTGTGACGGCCCCGACCGTACCTAGGTAGCAGGCCCTCATCGATAATTATCGAGATTAAATGCGTCCGTGCAATACCTGTCCACGGATAGACAGGGCCCTGAAGTAAGGTAAGGTATGGCTTCCCTTGCCCGGTGTGCAAGTGTACATATAGGATTTGTATTTCTTGCCTTGCCGCGCTTCTCGAAGTGGAAAGCATATCATAATCCCTAGTCACCCAGTTTGTCCGTTATGGTGGAATTTTTCCCCCCTGGTGGGCGTGGATATTCTCAGTTAATTCCAGGCTGGATTTCAAATTTAGAGGGTCCCTATCCTCGATTTGTAGCATGGACCGTACAACAGCCCATAACCACACACCCAACTTTTCTTTTCTCGGGGCGATGGCTGGGGGAGATATGCTGTCTTTCCAATCGGATGCTCTTCAGTTGAGGGCCATGGACGTACTAGTCGATACACGAGATCATTAGGATTGGCCTGCGGATTATCGAGTCCACCCTCAAATGAAAAAAAAAAGCCCACACGGGACACTATCATTTGAAGTCATACAGAACAGGCATCTAGGGAGTTCAACCACCGGCATATGCGTATCATACTTGCTTCTGCTTGCTTCTTCCAACGCTTCCAGCCTCTGAAGCTGCTGCCAGAGTGCTTTGTGCTGATCTTCTCTTTCCACCAGGTCATATGTACTCTGGTGGCTGTGTGTGAGCGAAACCGCGTCTTCGCAGTGCCGAAGGCACAGGGTACCATGATCATCATCTCTCACTCTCGGTCTTATCAAGTAGTAGTACTCTTTCTCTGTACTTTGGACACTACGGAGACCAATCCATGGCTTGTCAAGTACGTGGTATGAGTATATCGAGCACCCACAAACCCTGCCTGGTCATCAAGAGCAATGACCACCACCTCCTCCCTTCCCGCCTGGAGACAGGGACAAGGGCCAACAGGTAGGGAGACAGGCAATGGATACTATGTACACTACTGTGTACACAGCAGCTTGCTGCCAGCAACGCGCACCGTATTTTCCTCCTCTTGTCACCCCCCATGTCCGTCCAAGTGCTTGGCTTGCAGGTGGTGCAAGCCTTTGATGGCTGCGTGGGTCTAGGTATGCGGCTTTTTGCTTGATCGCGGTCGTCCTCGATAGGCCCGGTCCTCTCATGCCGGCACCTATCTCTAGCTTAGCTCACGCCCCCCCTTCTCGCGACCTTCCTAGCACAGCAATAGCGCGACGGATTGCAGGCTGGGGTGTGGGATGTGGATTGTGGACTTGTGGATTTTCGAGGTCCAGGCTGCACTGACACTAGATATGTGAAGTGCGGATAGGCAAGGCAAGGCAAAATATTTAGCATCAAACAAGAAGCCGACGGCGATTGAAAGGACCCAGTTCATGGTCGTTGTTGGTCGTTAGTTGTAGTACCTACCAGTCTACACTAGTCCAGTCCACTCCAAAAATTCCCAAGTCAGTCGGTAGGCCGGCTCTGGCTTCCCAGCGCCCTACCAAATAGTACAGTGGTACACGTACGCACACAAACTCAAACCGTAGGGCACTACACTACTACCTGCGACTACTACTACGGGTACCGGGCTCTTTTTGCTGCAACTAGGAGCGGGTGCGTAACGCAACTCCAATGTAATGTACGATTTAAGCTCGCATCTGAAAGGGCCACACTTTCAGGGGGGGACCTCGTCCTCTTGAGATCAGAGTACATTGGCAGCAGCAGCAGCATCTTGGGGCTGTCTCTTTTTCGACGGTTCATTATACAACCTCGTGGTACCAATGATGTTCATGTAATGTAGAAAGATGACATGCACGCATGCGTGACGGGTAGATACCACGACATTGCAATTACTTTGGACCTTTTTTTGCAACAGCAACAAGAGAGAAATATCAATTCATTATCATTGTTCGTGGGGTCTCGGGCGGCCCCAAACCATTTCATCTCATCAAATGTCTTGCGCCTATCTTGCATAACCATAGTGTAGCGCAAGCGGCACTGAAGGAAAAAAGTGACGATGCGCCCCCCTCCCCATATCTCATTCCCCCCTCCCCTTCTGGGCTGGGGGCCTTGCCCACCATCCACCCCCATCGACATACATAGCCGCGCTGGGCTTGCCCTCGCGGCTTCTTCCCCGAGTGACTACCCTTGCTCGGGAAAGAATTGAGAGAGGAGGGGGGAATTATGGGGAGATCTCACCAACACACACACAAGTAAGATGACACTCTTTTTTTGAACGTTTTGTTGGCAAATCCAAAACATAAGCACCGGAATGTCACCCACCCAAGGGGGCTTACTTGTTCATCATACGATTGAAAGATAATAGGTAATATCTCTTTCTTTATGGAGCAAATGCAGACGTGAGGGAAAAAAAACAAAAAACAAAAAAGAGGTACATAGGTCTCTGATGAGGATTTTCATTTCATCCGAGAGCAGAGGAAGATGACTAGGGCCCTGGGGAGAGAAGCGGGGGGGCTCCTCCAGGCGTATACGAAAGAGAAGATCCCACAGGTGAAATTTTGTTTTCTTATTCGTTTATTCTCGGTTCAAGAAGATTTCCAATTCCAAGGATTTGTTCGCCAAGGGGAAGGGGTTGAACAGAAAAAAAAACCAAAAAAAAAAAAAAAAAAAACCAGAGACCATCATATTGATCATAGTGGATAACTAAGTTCAATTACGGATCGTGATCCCGG